TGAACCAGAGCAAGGGGGGCCACGGAGACACCAATGAGGCACTGAAAAAGGAGGTAAGAGCACCCCTCTTATCTGAAACTGGGATTCTTATGGCCCCTTAGTGTGGTCTCTGGCAGCAGGATGCTCTGCAGGAGAGCAGGGCAGAGGTGCAGGGAGATGTTTATTCTGTCTGGTTCCATTTGCCACCCTGCAAGTACTTGGGAGCTTTTGCAACCGGGTAATGTGAGGCTGGAGACTGCTCTCACATGCCTGCAGCGGTTCCCCAGGCCATATTTTGGTCCAGGATGTTAGTTGGTGGCACTGCTTCTGTGCAGTCTGTCTTTCCCTGGGGGTACATCTGCAGCCTCTCTTCTCTCTCTGTTCCCAAGCCTGCAAGCACTTCACCTGCCAGCCTTTGAAAGGAGACATGCACTTGTCTGGCATCCCAGCTACATGTGTAACAGTGGTTTCCTTCAGCACAGATCCATCTCTGGCAGTTGGGATGTGTCCTCTCCTCCTTGTTAGCACTTACCAGGCTGGGGCTGGCTTCGGTCCGTTAGCAGGCTGCCCTTCCTGTGGGAAACAGACATCTCTGTTGGCCATGCATGGTCCTCCCCATCCCTAAGTCAAAGGTTTGGATGCAGCATGTTGGTTGGGCCATGGCTGAGCATCTTTCTCACCTCCCTGGCGCACAGGTCCAGTCACTGAGGGCGCAGCTGGAATCCTGCCGGGCTCGGAATGAGAGCCTTCGGGAGGCAGCAAAATCCCAGGGAGAAGGCCACGTGCCCCGGGGTTACATCTCACAGGTGAGCAGGACCCTGGGGTCTCTCCCTGTTACAAACTGGGAAATGCTGGGACTCAGCTCATTGCTGGGCAGGGATCACTAATCATTGGGTTGCCATGGTGACCCTAACTGGGCCCACTTGTAATCAATGTTAATTACATAAAAGCTGGTGTGTGTTGCCTAGCCTTAAAGGGGACAGTATGAACAGGGAGGAGGAGAGTCAGGGAGGAGTTGCAGGATCTAGATATAAAGAAGAAGTTCTTCACTGTGAGGGTGATGAGGCTCTGGAACAGGTTGCCCAAAGAAGTGGTAAATGCTCCATCCCTGCAGTGTTCAAGGTCAGGTTGGACAGAACCTTGGGTGTCATGGTCTGGTGTGAGGCGTCCCTGCCCATGGCAGGGGGGTTGGAACTGGATGAGCTTTAAGGTCCTTTCCAACTCTTAACTATTCTGTGTTGCTATGATCTGTGCCCCAGATTGTGCATGGGCACAATGCTGGCCTGGGCTGGGGGGCTGAGCTGTGCTCCAGCTCAGGAACGGGTCATCAGCTTTCTGCCAAGCCACCCATGTGTTTGCAGCTTCCCAAATGTGGTTCTTGCTATCAGGGGCTCCCAAATCCCTTGTTAAAAGCAGCCTATCAGGCCGTGGGGATCTCCCATCCCTGCCCAAGCCCTGAAGGTTGCTTTGACAGCACAGCCTGTTGCATTGCTGGGACAACGGCACGTGGGAAAGCCCGTAAAGCAGAGTTTACTCATGCTTCAGCCTCTCGTTTCCCTTTGTTTGTTTATTCCCCCCTCTATGGACTCATCCAAAGCAAACAGGGTCACATCCCGCAGGGGTTTCCTGGGGGGAAGGCTGCTGTTCCACTGTGCTGTGGTGATTTCAGGATGTGCCCTATATGTTGAAAGATCCTGGGGAAGGGGAGGAAATTGGGGCTGGTGAAGCCTGTTGAGTGCGTTGGCTGTACCTATGTCCAGATAAAGAAACCCACAAGGCCCATGGCGCCCAGCCCAGCCACTTACCAGTGGCTCTGTCAACTTGATTTAATATTTACAACTTACAGGCCTCCTTATGGTCAAAAAAAGGGCAAAAGGAGTGGGGAGGAATGGCACCTTATCCTTATCTTCAGAATAACTTGGCTTAAAAGGCCCGCGTTTCACATCTGAGGCCAAACTTGGCTTTTCCCCAGAGGGCTTGTTCTCCCTTAGTCTGCCGATGTTTGCAGCTGGTCTGTGGGCAGATAACCAAATTGGTCCCCTGCCTTTTTCCTCTCCTTTGGCTGATCTGTGAAGCTTCCCTTGCCTCAGTAGGGAGGAGTAGCCAGCAAGGACTTGCATTCTTGCATTCCCACAATGTGTTGCAGTGCCCTTTATATCAGCCTTTGCCTTAGTACTGGGGGAAGGAATGGGACAGCAAGGGGCTGTTGGGGGACACGAACGCTTCCTGGCTCTCTGCTCATGTCTTAAGAGTCTCTGGCTTTTTGAAATAATACTCTGGCATGGTTTGGTGGTGAACAGACCCTCCCTGGGGAGGCTGGGGCAGTGCTGCCAGCGTCTGAAGGGGAGAGTGGAGGCATAGCTCTGAGGTGGGAACTGCTTTGCTTTGCTAACACCGGGTAACCACAGTGCTCAGCATTGAAAGAACATGAGACTCCCTTGGTCTCAGAGCCATCAGAAAGGAGAGCAAGCTGTGTGAGGAGGATCCCTAACCATTAGGCTTTGGCAAGGGCTCTTTGGCAGCCTCTGCCCGGCCACAGGGCAGTTCAGGGTGTCACTTTTCAGGAGAGGCTCAATTTTCATTGATTCTGGGGGATACTGCTTCATTTGAAAGGCAGATACCGAGAAGCATTTCCCACTGCTGATCTCCTCCAGCCAGGCAGTGCAGCCTGCTGGAGGGTCTGGACTGGTGTGTCAGGCATATTACTCCCAGCTCTTGTCCCAGGAGGGATGCTCCTGTATTGCTACTGCAGTTTTAAGATGAGCAAGAGGAACATTTCTTCCCCTGCAAACATCAGCCCAGCCAGTGCCCCAGCCCTTCCTCCTGCCCTCCTGGTTCCTCACCCCTCCTTTCCCTGGCACGGCAGGAGGCCTGCGAGCGCAGCCTGGCTGCGATGGAGTCATCCCACCAACAAGTGATGGAGGAGCTCCAGCGGCATCACCAGCGGGAGCTGGAGCGGCTGCGGCAGGAGAAGGAGCGGCTCCTGGCAGAGGAGGCAGCGGCAACAGCAGCAGGTAGGAGCAAACACCAAGCTCTGCCCCCACTCAGGTGGGTCCCTCCCACTGCTCCCAAATGTCTGTTGCCAGAAACCGGTCATCTCAGTCATCCGGAGCCACATGGATGACCCTGCTGGTGTGAGGCTGATGTGCTCCTCGGACCTGTGCTGGGGGTGGGGGTTGTTTGGGCTGGGACAGGGACAATGGGGTGGTAAAGATACTCTGGGAAACGGGGTCTTGCTTCTGTGGATGGGTGGGAGGGGGCCAGCATACTGCCCTGTGTTAGTCTCCTTGATAGCATTTGGTGCATTGCGATCATCCTGGGGCATGAAGAAGGTGGGGGGTTTCCTGAGGGCAGAAGGGCAGGAGGGGGAATCTGCAAAGGCTTGTCTGAGAGCCTGCAGCAGCAAGAGCTCAACCAGTTCCCTGGTGTGGTTTCTCCAGATGTGCTGGAGCTGGCACAGCCTGACCCCACATCTCCTGTTGTCCCCCTCTGCAGCCATCGAGGCACTGAAGAAAGCCCACCGGGAGGAGATGAATAAGGAGCTGTGCAGGACACGAAGCTTCCAGCAATGCAGCTCAGTCTCAGATGCCCTCCAGAAGCAGCACCAGTAAGAAAGCATCTCTCCTGCTCCTCTTGCCTGATGCTGCCACCCTGTGCCAGCGTCACCTCACCTAATCTGCATCCATAGACCCCAGCTCCTTCCCCGGGGACAGTGGGTACCCAGCAGTGACTGCCAGGGCAGGGAGTTTTATCCTCTGCTTCGCTATTTCTCCTATAGCCCCTCTGTTTTCCCTGCAACACCTCTTTTTTCCCTATAGCTTATTCCCTCTATTTTCTTTATGTAAAGCTTCTCTATTTCTTGAAGCTTCTAAAAGTACTGCACGCATGTGTAGGAGGGTGGGAACTGGTCCACAGGGATCCTTATTTTGTGCCAGTGACTGATGTGGGCAGAGGCTAGCCATGGCCCATGGCCCCAAGGTGATGCCAGTGGCTAGGAGCAGGTGGGGATTGTTATGGGCAGTAATGAACCAGCACCTCTTTGGCAGGTTGGACGTGGAATCCCTGAAGCGGGAGCTGCAGGTGCTCTCTGAGCAGTATTCCCAAAAGTGCCTGGAAATTGGGGAGCTCACCCAGAAGGCAGAGGAGCGGGAGCAGACGCTGCAGCACTGTCAGCAGGAGGGGAAGGAGCTCCTCCGGAAAAACCAGGCAAGAGAAAGGCTTTCCCTGACAGCAGTAACCACGGGGCATGTTCCTCCCTTGCACAGCACAGCCCCTCTGTTAAAACTCCCCAGTTTGTTCGTATTTCTTCCCTTCTGAGATTCTATCATCAGAAAGCAAAAAACATATTAAGAGTTAGAGGCTGTAGATGGATTTAGCTGTGGTGTTAAATACAGTGAGTGAATTCTGCTGGTTGTAGATGCCACCATCACCTATGGGCAGGGGGTTACAAGGACGCCTCCAAGCTCGAGTAGGGCTGGCTTGAAGGTGGAGGGGTGAGGACAGCAGAGAGGCCTGTGCCATTGGTGTCTCTTGGTTCTGCCTGCAGGAGCTGCAGACCCGCCTCTCGGATGAGATCGGGAAGCTGCGAAGCTTCATTTCCTCACGGAACTCTGGGGACCGCTCTCCGAACAACAATGAGCGGAGCTCCTGCGAGCTGGAGGTACCGGGTCCCCCCAGGCTGCCCCGATACCTCCATCCCCATCCTGTGCCAGGGTATTCTCCTTGCACTGGTTTGGGCTTGGAGTGGGTGGGAGGGGGTGCCGGATGGAGCAGAGGTCGGTGCAGGAAGCAGGTACACAAGCTTCCCTCCTCTGCTCTCCAGGGCTGCTCACGCCGTTTCCTGCCCCAGCCCTCCTGGCCCTTCCTTCCTTTTCCACCGCTGCCCTTGTGCCAGGGCCTTTCCAAGGTGTTGGCTCTTGAGTCACCTCTGGTTCTTCTCTCCTCTCCTCGACCCAGGTGCTGCTGCGGGTGAAGGAGAATGAGCTCCAGTACCTAAAGAAAGAGGTGCAGTGCCTCCGGGAGGAGCTGCAGATGATGCAAAAGGTCGGTGTTTTCTGGGAGCCATTGGGAAAGCGGCAGGAGAGGGGGAAGAGGGGAGGACTGGGGCTGCGTCTTAGCAGGATTCAGCTGGGTTTTATGGGGTGCTCAGGCCAGATCTTTTGTGCTCCTGCTCACTCCTGAGCACATAGCAGCCAAGTGCTCCGAACAGCACAGGCTGGTATAGACTTACCCTCTACAAGGGAAATGTCACTGTGACTTTACTGCTGGTTTCCCCGGATATATGTACCTTTAAGTGTCAACAAGCCAGGATCCCTTCTTTCACAGGTGAAGCCTGCCCAACACTTGGCTTCTCCAGCTACTTCTCTTCCCCTTGCTGGGTGGATGAGTTTCCGTGGGCACCATTGCTGGGTGTGCTGCTCCCTCCACTGGCAGCAGCTCCTTTAGAGGCATTTTCAAAGATCCCTGCCAAAGGAGAACCTGAAGGAAACTTTGAGATTCAGTGGTGCTCCTGGACTTTATAACTTTCTGACTTAAGCTTTTTGCCATGTAAGTGGCTGGGACCAGCCCTTTCAGCAGCCTGCATCTCTAGTGGGGTTTATTTTCCCCATACGGCTGGCCCAAATGCACACAAGCCATACTAAAACCCACATCACCTCAATGTGATGCTACAGTTCCCCACTGCAGTGGGACCAATGACTGTGCCTTCCTCCCCAGCCCAGGGTTTGGGAGGTGCTATCTCCATGCTCTTCTTCTGAATGGTTTCTGCGTGGCTCAGGTTGGGATGGGCTTCAAACCCATCACCCCACCTGCTGGCCTTTCTCATGCTGAGCTTGCCTTGCTGTCCCCCTCCCTAATATCAGCCCTAAAACCTGCTGACCCCTCTCCTGGCAGGATAAGAGATTTGCCTCAGGGAAATACCAAGACGTCTATGCAGAGCTGAATCACATCAAGGTGCGCTCGGAGAGAGAGATCGAGCAGCTGAAGGAGCACTTGCGCTTGGCCATGGCAGCTCTGCAGGAGAAGGAGTCACTGCGCAACAGCGTTGGCGAGTAACGGTGAGCACCGGGGATGCAAGTGACATCCCCCGTGGGTCGCTGAGACCTGCTGCCCCAGATTGACATGGGGGTGGAAGCTTCCATGCAGGGCGGAACCTTCAGGCTTAAACTTTTCCTTCTCTGCTTCTTGCATCCTCTTGTCCCGTCCCTCCTGTTGTCCCTGACGTTCTCCCAAGGTCGCCAGTGCCCTTCTCACCACACTGCTCTTGATGCTTCTGCAGCCAGCACCAAGTGCTGCTCAACCAGGCTGGAGGGGGGAGTCAGCCACATGCTGGCTTTTGCCCCGTAGCTTGCATGACAGCGTGGGGAAGGTTGTGTGCTGCCTATATAGGTGATGTGTCGGCTGCTTTTGTCTTTGAAGTGGTTTCCCTATTGCAGCACAGAAATTTGAGGTCTGCATCAAAGCAGCCACGACTAGACCCAGCCCTTCTCCCACACTCACCTGCAGGCATCCCTGCTGCAGCTGGGAAGGGAAATGGTGTGACAGAAATGAGCACATCCTGTTATCCGGAGCTCTTCTGCTTCTCACTGCAGTGCTGTGGCCATCAGGATTTGGGTCACCCAGCTCTGCTTGGAGGGCACCAGACAGAGCAGAAGGGGCGGCATTTCTGTGCTCAGTGGAGCCTTTCTAAACCATTTCTGGTTTTCTTTCTTTCCAGGTCTGCTCTTCATTTGTTTATCTGTTCTTGTTTTGTATTTGCTCCATTCCTCACTTGTGGGGAGGGGGAGGTTGAATCCCATCCGTTATCGCCTTGGCGAGGAATCCCACACACACCCCCCCAGCCTTCTCACTCCCCTCCCAAAGCTTTTTTGATGAACCCCTTTTGCCTGCGTACCTGAGCACATTGTTTGGACTGGCTCCTTACATGCACCTTCTTCAGGATTTTATATGTGAAAATTATATTTTATAGAGGATTTTTTTCCCCCCGGGAAGAGGAGGGAGGAAAACTTTTACTACATCACCAGCATTTTCTAACCTGAGAAAGAGAATCTGGTTGTTGACCCTTCCCCAGCCCCGTTGCTCCTGGCCACACAGCCACCTTTGGCACATGCTCCCTCTCTTCCGAATGTCTCCACGGCCTCCCTGGGATGTATGGCGAGGACCACAATCCCCCCCGTGCCACCCCCAGGGACCTGTGGAGAAGACATGCAAGCCATAGGAGGGAGCCTTGGGGGCAGTCTGCCATGGATGTGCTTGCTGGGGACTTTGGGAAGAGGAGACCTTGGCAAGAGTCCACATGATCAAGCTCTCTCCATGACTGTCCTTTGGCTCCTTCGAGAACCTGAGCTGGCTGGAGCCTGGAGACACGGGGCTTCTCCTATTTGGGGAAGAGGAGCTGTGAGGCTGCTACTGCACCCGCCAGAGCCAACCCCCCTCAAGGTGGCAGCTGCTGCTGCTCTGCTGCGCCCTTCAACTTTTAACTTAATAAAATCTTCCCCCTTTGCTGAGAAAAATGTGTTCCTCGAGGGGAAGGCTTCCCACGTGGCCCTAACCCCTCATGATGGTGGTGGGCCATTTCTCTAGGTTCCTGTGTGGTTTTGGGACATCCCGACCTGTTGCTTCCCTCCCTCTGAGTTTGGGGAGGGAGAGTCCTGCAGAGCCATTCGCCAGCTGTCTGCTCCACCTCTGGGTTTGGAGTGGAATAATCTGATTCACCATGCTGCTAAGAAAATCCCATTTGGACCCTCTGCCCCATGGAGGAAGAGCTGAGGCTGGGCTGCACCGGTAAATGCAGTAATGGGGAGGGCAGATGGCACTGCAACCAGAGTAAACAGTATATATAGATCCTGGGGGAGATGAGAGGGATCTCGGATGCTTTTCTTCTCCTGTTTTTGGGTGAAGCACATTGCTTTTTTGTCACGATGGAGGACCTGGGGGTTACTGCTCCTCATTCGGCCCTGTCCCAATGTAAACATGAGCTGTTGCTCTGCAGAGAGGCTGCTGGCAATTACAGAAGAGCCTTAATTGCAGGCTCCTGCCACGGCTGGAGGTGACATCTGAATAAGCGAATATGGTCAAGGAGGACCCTTGGATGGGTGTGATGGATGCATCATCTGGGAGGCTGGAGTACTGCGAGATGTGGGGAAGAGAGCAGGGTTTAAGGACATGGTGGCAGCGCAATGAGAAGAGTTAGGGCAGCAGTGTGTGATAACATCACAATGTACCTGTGGCCTCTGGAGCAGGGGGTACGGGAAAATACAGATCTACTTCTCCATGGGCATGGCTGCAGTGACTACTCTCCCTGTGTAAGGCAAGCTGCTTCATAACTCACAAATTCTGGTAAAACTGGCTTGTAGGCTTTAGTCACATGCACGAGGCTCTTGAGCAACTGGTGAATGGTGCAAGAAGTGAGGCACTGAGCTCAGCAGGCAGCTCCCCATTGCACCCATTTGGATACAGGGCTTGCTCTTGCTCTTGCTGGTGCTTGGCCTTCTGCCTGGAAACCCGCCTACCTCTGCTCTGACCCAAGGTCCAGGCTTTTCCCCCTGCCCCCCAGCAGGACATGGCTGTTACTATTGATCTTGGGATGGTCTGAGCATTCAGCACACCGGGAGCTGAGACAGGAAGGAAGACAAGAGGTGATAGAGCAGCTCAGGGCAAGTGCTTCCAGGCTGCAGGGCTTGGTCTTGCCATAGGGGGTTAGTAGGGAACAAGAAGGAAATAAAGTGGGGTACAGGGCACAGCGCTGCAGGCTGAGGTTTAGAACAAACACACACTGAGACTACAGTCTCTGTGGTCAAACCTGCTCGGGGGGGGGACCCCCCAAAAATGGGGTACGGGGTGAACTGCAGACTGCTGGTGTGTGCAGTTTTCAGCACGCTGCTCGCCAGCTGCTTCCCCGAACGTTTCCCTATCTTGTGTTTGTTTGGGTTGGTTTGTTTGGGTGGTGTTTGTTGGGGTATTTTGTTACCCTTCCTGAGCAGGGGCTGCTGACCCCGATAAATGTGTCGTGTAAGCACAGGCGAAATGTGCAGGCACCCGACATGCAGCTGAGATGAGCAGATCAGCGCCGCCGGGTAGGAGCATCCCGTCATCCCAGGGTGATGGTGGACCGACACCTCCCAAACCGGCGCGGTGTTAATCAGGCAGCCCCAGCCTCGCCTGTGTTGGGGTGATATGGTCACCCCGTCATCTCTGCATCGTTATCTCCTGGGTGCAGGGGAGCTGGGTGTGGGGAGTGTGGCAGGGAGCAAGATGACTGCAATGCCCACGCAATGAACAGCAGAGCCCAAAAAAGCATCCCAAAGCAATGCCTTTACCCCATCAACCTGCTCACACCCATGTTGTGGCTGCGAGAAATATGCCAGCCTCTGGCAAATGGAAAACCCACAGCTCTACAGCGCCCTGGTTTGCATGGAAGCCAGCATGCCAGCATCCCGGCTTGCATAAGGAGCTGGCCCTTAAGATTACAGCTCATAAATCCTTCAAAACAGTGGTGATCAGTCCAGCAGCCACAGGCAATACCCCTTCACCACTCATTGGCATAGAATTGCAGAATGGTTTGGGTTGGAAAGGACCTTAAGATCATCCAGTTCCAACCGACCCTGCCGTGGGCAGGGACACTTCACACTAGACCATGTCACCCAAGCCTCTGTCCAGCCTGGCCATGGTTGAAGCCAGCTCTGCTGTTTGTGGAGCCTGGGCTGAGTGGCTTCATGCTGGGCTGACAACGCTGCATTCCACAGTGGGGGCTTGGGGCTGAAGCTCTGGGTGAGCACAGTGGAAAATCAACAAATTCCCCTGTTTTGCCACTAAAAAAAGCACTGAAGCACGTGAACCTGGATGCCAGCAAGGCCGAGTCCCAGTGCTGGGGATTTTGAGCCTCTTTGAAAATGGAAACCAGGTAAAATAGAATGTCACTGGCATTAGTTGGCAGAAGCGCACTCAAATGCCAGTGAACAGCCATCCTGCCCCTACAAGGGGATCCATAGCACATCCACAGTGGACATGGTTTGACCATTTAAGATGAAATCCACAGCTGGAAGTGCATAAATCCCCATGGGGTCTGGCTGAACACACTGTGGGGAGGGAGAAGGTTAATGGGATTATGGAGAGGATTCTTCTGCTGGGCTCTATGCTCTGGAGTTTGTCAGAGAAGTGGGACTTCCCAACCTCTGCTAACTAATTCCAGAAACAGGATGTACAGGAGGCTTGGAGTTGTTAGGTAGCTCTCCTCAAGGAGAAAAGGGGATGCAGGGGGTAATCCACCCCATCCTGTGCATGGTGGCTGGTTCCTGTGACCAAAAATGAAGGCACGAGACCAAGACAGGCACAGCAGCATAGGTGGCGTGTGGGAATAATTTTCTCTTCCAGATGAGCCCCCCACCATGCTGCTTTGGCCCCACTTCCCAGGGGCAGTGAGGCTTACATTGCCCTGCAGCATCTGCATCCCATCTCCAGCCCCAGCATCCCACCAGGAGCCAGAAAACCTCTCTCGATCCTGCCCAGCTCATGTTAAGGATGCATCAGTACAACAGTGCAGGGTTCCAGGGATGTCTTCCAGTATCAGGTGGGTTCACCTCCATGCACAAGGCTAGCAGCAGCCTGATGAGCAGTGGCCACTATACACCTTCCCTCCAAGTCACTTGGTGGCATGGGATCTTCTCCCTATTTCGACTGGGCAAAAGTTAGGGATGAAAGTGTTGGAAAGGGTTTGGATGAAAGGAGCGAAAGGGATCTTCTCCCTATTTTGACTGGGCAAATGTTAGGGATGAAAGTGTTGGAAAGGGTCTGGATGGAAGGAATGAAAGGGATCTTCCCCCTGTTTTGAATGGGCAAAATTTAGGGATGAAAGTGTTGGAAAGGGTCTGGATGAAAGGGTTCTATCTCCCCCACGTACAGGGAACAGGGTGTTTGCCCTCCAGCAGCGGCACCCGCTGGAGGAGGCTGAGCAGCCCTGCTGGGCTGCAGGAGGTGCCCAGGTGATGGGCTGAGATTAGACCCCTAATTTTCAGCTGGCTGAAGTTAGGTAAAGCGTATACCTCCTCCCTGCCTGC